TAAAAAAAGTAGTGCATAATGTTATTTAAAAAAAAATAAAAAAATAAAAAAAAATAAAAAAAAAAATAAAAAAATAAAAAAATAATATTTCTTCATCGAGCATTGAGGTAAAGTAGTGGGGTTGACTCTCGCTATTGCAGCGATTGTTACTAAGTGAAACACCTCAGTGTGAATGTGTTGCTTAAAATCATTGGGTAAAGTAGTGGGGTTGACTTTCACTATTGCAGTGATTGTTACTAAGTGAAACACCTAGTGAATAATAAAGCTCATGTTCTTTCGGTGCTAGAATTCTGGAGAGATATGACTTGCACTACATATATATATATATACATATTCCGCCGCTGTTTTGTTCCTTGGTGTGTTTGTGACACAATATCATTTTGGATTAGTTAAGCATGAATCTCGTTATAGGTGACTAGGAATGAATTTTGTTGATCTTGGTGTCTTGCGTGATTTTGTTTTTCCTTTTTTCATCCTTAGGCATAAATCATGTGGTTTCCTTAGTGAATTTGAATTATTTGGGTCTCATATATTTTGTGTAGTACATATGATGGCATAAAATCAGATTTTCCTACTTAATTTTCGAAATAAAATGGGAAGTTATTTTTGTGGGAAGTTGTGATGTGTTTGAATTTGGTTTTGGAAGGGATTTAGTTTTCTAAAACCGCCCAATCTCTTTCTCTCTCCAATTACCTTGAATTGCCTTTTGCAGTTATCTATGACAGGTTCTTTAAACCTACACGCAACCTCTCTCTCTCTCTCATTTTGCCCCAAACCCTAGTTTTTCCAATTCCCCACCTTCATTTGTTATCCATGGCTGGTAGCAAGGATAAGTCGAAGAAACGCCATAAGAAGCACAAGGACAAGGGATCGAAGCGGCGTCGGTATTCAGTCGCTCAAAGTTCGCCTCGTATGTCGCCGCCTCCGGAATCGTCTCAGCCACAGGATGCACCACCTGTTACCCCGACTCCATCTCCGGCAAAGGCGGACACCGAGAACGACGCTACTCAACCCTCTCCGATGTCTACGAATATTCCTGTTCTCTCGCCTCAGTTGCTTCACGACATCGCGGCCGGCACCACTCAGGGGGAGTCTTCGGCACTTCCCACTTCTGGAACAAAGTCGACCACAAAGGAAGGTGACAAATCCGACACTGCTGGTACAGCCATTGAAGTTCGCTCCGACCAAGAGACCCCTCCTCGCCGACAGTCTGTTCGTCGTTCTGCTAGGCGTGCGGGTAAAGAACCCATGGAGACCGCTCCTGTTGAACAAGAACCTGAAGACGACGACTATGACTTGTCTAACGCCTACTCGAACAGGTTCTATACTCAAGCTGCCTTTGGTCGTTTTGAAGATTTTTCTACTTACGGTTTCTGGGCTGAACATCCTCTTGGTGATGCGAAGTATGAGGATTTGGGTATTGTTAAGCTCATTGATGCTGTGGGTTTGTCTAAAACCGTCACTAATCTTCATCCTTTCTGTGGTCAAGCTGTGAGAGAATTTTTTGCTAATTTAACCCCTGCTGTTTTTACCCCTGGTAGCCCTCGTTTTCACAAACTCTTTCTTCGAAATAGAGTCATTGATTTCTCTCCTGAGCTTTTGAACTTGCATTTGGGTTTACCTGCTGATGTTCCATCCTTGTCTGAAGTTGATCTTGATGTTGTTACCCAAACCCTTTCTGATAAAAACCTTGATACTTGGCCTGGTTCGAATTTGCCTGTGAGTTGCTTGTGCCTTACCGCGAACATTCTTCATAAGATTGGTGCTGGGAATTGGACACCTACCTCCAACAAGAACTTGCTCACTGAGCTTCAGAGCAAAGTCATCTATTGGATCATGGATGGACAGGTGTTCAACTTTGGTGAGGTTGTCTTTGACATTATCCAATCTTTCATCATTAATTCCGATTCTCGTCGTACTCTTCCCTTTCCTTGCTTGATTTGGTCCTTCCTTGCTGCTAATAATTTCTCTGTGAACCCTCGATTTAATGATGCTCTCGAGAACCCTGGAAAAGCCTTTATTGTGAGTGCTCGCACGTTGAGTATGAAGGCCACTCCCAAGACCAAGTTTGATCTTGCCCCTTCCCTGGTTCCCACCAAATGGGATGAATTCTTGGTGCAGCAGCTAGCCGAGTGGGACGCTGTGGCCAAAAAGGTTGCTACTCAGCAGGCTTATCTTCGCCAAGTTCTTCAGGCTGTCAAGGGACTGCAGCGCAAAAACTCGGGGACTGGCCCTTCGGCATCCCGTAGTTCGAAAAAGGGGGAGAAGAAGGCTAAGGGTGGTGATGAAGATGAAGATGATTCTGAAGCTGAAGAGGATTCCTCTGATTCAGGGGGAGAGTCTACCTCTGATTGAAGTTTGTTGCTGCTCGATTTAGTTGCTTAGGATGTGTGTGGAGGGATGTAGTGAGGACTTTATGTATTAAAGAACCTCTTTCGTATTTCATTTAATTTGTTTTGTGCTGTGCTGCTACATTGCCTGTTGCTTATGTGACTTTTGTGATGAACTTCGTTTTTAGGTGATCTATGGATGCTGTTACTTACTTATTGCTTGCAGGAACTAATCAGTAGAACTAATGACCTATTGCAGAATTAGTGGTGTTCTTGTTGTTTATCTCTTGCAGGAAATTTTCGAACTAGATGCCAAAGGGGGAGATTGAAAGATATATTTTGGCATGAGTTCGAAAGTTAAAGGAGTTCCTGCCATGATTAATAAGGGAAGTCTTTGTTACCAAAATTAGTTCCTATTATATTTGATCTTATTATTTATTTACGTATTGTAGGATATTGATGATATAGGAAGGGAGCTTCACGCGTATGGCACATCACGAAAGAAAAGGAAAAGTTTGGATAAGTAAGGCAAGAGAATATGTGGAGAGAGAAGAAGAGTCCTTTACATGGTAGGACTTAGGGGACATGCCAAATAGAGACCAAGGATTGTGGGAGTCCTATGAGATGATATAAAAGCCGATCTTGAAGGTTGAAGGCTGCTGCTGAAACTAGGGCAATCATTTATCTCCTTCAAGCTTCAAGTTTCACGTTGGCTACTCGTTTTATTTTGTTCTCGCTTTGGTTCAGTTCCTGATTGATTCGATCATTAAGAAACTGATACCATTTTGATTGTATTGCTTTCAATTATTCTGAGTTGAACTTTTTGATCATTTTACACTTAGGGAGTAAGTGTGAAAAATAAGTCCACGGGACGTGGCCGGAGAAATAGTTGATAGGCTAGATCATAGTTGTGGTTAGAATAGAAGGGAGTTCTATTTTGTAAATCCAAACTATGTATTCAATAGTTATCAATGAAAGAGCTCTGAGGGGAAGTGGGATGCTTCCCTGAAGAGTGTTTTAAATCTTTGATTGTCGCTTCCGCAAATTACAAACTTTACACTTGTTCGTACAACAATTCAGAACACTCGGGATTATTCTATACGTTTCAACATCAAATACTATATCACGCAAAACGCCAGAATTGATGTGAAACACGTTTAGCGTTGAACTTGTTCCTTCGAAACGCGTTTTTCTTTCTCTTGAACTATATGCGAACCACACACAATTGAAAGTTCATTCTTAGCAACCAAAAATAATATTAAAGAAGCCATTAATTCTTAAAATTGAAATCACCGACTAAATTATAAAATAAAAATTTGACACATATAACCACGTTTCTAATAAATAAATAAATCTTTGTTTAATGTAATCAAAACGACTCGTGTTACTAGTGGCAACAAACAAGCTTTGTTTGAACACCCAAGATCTGGAAGTTAGTTTACTGCTCGAGATTTTTGAACATGGAAAAAAATAGGAGATAGTAAAAAAATGTTAAGTTAAGATGTATCATTGCAGGAAGCAGAAGGAATCTGCAAGGACAAAATTATTATTTGCACTTTGGCAGCAGCTAGAGAAGATGGTCCCTTATGAGAGTGACATATTATCCTCACATAAACTTTTGTACCATTTATCTCTCAAATTATTTATGCAATGACGCATTTTTGTCCATTGAATTTACGATTTATCTAACTCTTTTTCAGCTATTTTTTTTTTTTTTTTTTGAACTGAACGGATTCAAGAGGCTAAAATTTCGTGCCTCAATGGATTTTCACCGTTTGAGTATGTGTAATAAAACGGTACTGTCCTCATCTGTATGCGAACTTTGTTTTCAAGAGAGATATTTTAAGCCAAAAGTTGGACAAGTCAAGATTTCAAGGTCGCAAGAAAATATATTTACCCAAAGTGTCGCTAATGGAATTTATTTATTTACCCACCAACTTATCTTTCCATAAGAAAATCAAATCATGAAATACTATTATAATTGTTTTTACAAATTTCACCAAATGATTATTATCTATTTTACTCTAAACCAAGTTTAATCATTTCAAGAGAAATACGTCCAAAATTATTCCTTTGTATAATCATGCTTTTCAAACAAAACTTTCATATTTCTAGCGTGAAAGGTGATTCTTTTGAAAAATAAAAAATAAAAATGTGGATACTTGTCTTGGAAAGCATGGTAGGTATGGTTTATTTTATTTACTCTAAATTTACTTTAGAAGTATGAGTGTTGACTGTCAAATTATGGTTTACTATCATCATTACGTTTCCATCTTTACAGCCACTCTTCAAATTCCTTCTTTTCCTTTCAGAAATTTTCTCATAATTGTTGTCTAACCAAAAGAAGATTCTATAAATGAAAGGATATGCAATCACAACATCCAAGCAATGTGCAATAATAGTGAAGAGCAAATAATTGTGTAGTGGCATCTTAGAGCAGTTGCACAAATTATATTGATAAATGGTCCCCTATAGGCTATAGGCCTACACTGGGTTAAAAGAAAACAAACTTCTGTCAAGGTCACTGAACCAAATTTGTATTTTATGTGCAGAAAAATTCTAAGCCCAAACCCAGCTAAATTTGTATCTGTCCTTGCTAACTTCCATGGCAAATAATGTCATATAATATTAAACCAGTAAACTGATATACTCACATCCTTCCTTGTGGATGCCAAACACAAATTAAGTATTAAACACAAATTAAAAAATATATATACAAACATCAAATTACAAAAATATATAAACATCATAGTCAACTGCTGGCTGAAAAAGATTTCTTTCTAGTGTTTGTGGATGCCAACTTCTACTTCGGTATGTTGTAATGAACATTAAAACGTAAAGTTTGTGCACCAGTTATTCAGTAAACACGATAAACAATTCGCTACATTTTGCACCAGTACCATCTTACTTGTATACCTTATGCTGCAAATGAAATACTTCGGCTAAATAAACACTACTTCTAAATGACGATGAAACTCAAAAGGCATCAAACCCAATGAAATGGAGCGTAACATATTTTCGTCATTAATGTGACACGAAAAAGAAATTAAAAACTATATTCAAGCAAACAAACAAATTGTTCCCTGTAAAGCAAACTATATTGGTGACTGCTTAGTATACATATCTTAATATCCTGTGATAAACAATCGGGCAGCAACCGGGCAACGAGATTTCAAATTTCTTAAGGACAATCCTGGATTTTACTGCAAAGAAGAAATATAGACAGTTGCAAGAAATTGGAAATGTACTCACAACACAATGGCATGAGCCTCGAACCAAGAAGACTCAGCAAATTTATCATGAAATTAACGAGAGAGAATAAACCTCACTCTCGGTATTATCAGTCTTGATTTCCAGGAGAGACTCAATAATTTCGCGGCAGATTGGGCACTTGTTTGACTGAAGCCTCAGTGTCTTCGCACAGTTGCTGCACATACACTGGAATGAAGAATGATTCAATTAAAAGATTAAGTGATAGTTACAAAGACGACGAAGAAGATGAACAAACAACATTTTTTTTTTCTTAAGACGAGGCATTCACCACCAGGATTCTATAATTTGAAATACAGTCAAATCAAATCAGCCAACATATTTTACTTAGTTCGTCGTTTGTGGAAAAAGTCCATCCTGCAACAGTAATTTGAAATCTATCCTTTTATCCGTTATCTATAGAATTACACATTCACTCCTGTGTCCTATCCATCTACACACCACACACATTTCGCAAACAAAAATATACATGCTACACATTTCATGCAATACTCTCACACACGCACATTTGCATGTTCCACACCACACACTACTCATTTTACACAACACAGTCGCACACACACACACAAGCACACTGCATGCTGAAGGTTCCAAGTTTGTGATTGAGTGTCCTTTTAAGTAAAATCTGAACCCACAAGTCTTACACCAGAAACTAAAAAAATGTATCAAGAATAATCTTTTATTGACTTGGGGAA